TTCTCATATTGAGTAGGTCTTAAATTTCCGAAAATTGTTACTAACCAAATTATTTCCATAATTACTAACAAAAATCAGACCTTCCAAAAAAAAAAAAAAAAAAAGAGTACAAAAATGGGACGATCAATGGGGAGCGAGGTTTCACTTATCAGAAAGCAAAAGATGGATTGAATGGACGGTCCAGATCTAAGTCAATCTGGAGGATAAAAGAATCCAACAAACATGATGTCTACACACATGACACATTGACATGTATTGTTGCGTTATCCCAAAACTTTGAATGTGACGATAAAATCAAAAACAAAAGGAAATCCACATTGCAAGTTCCTCAACTCTATGACAACCGCACCCTTCACTTTAACTCCTTGTCCCCCTCAAGACCACATTTGTACGAGGATAAATATGTCAATCCACGGGTATTTTGGTCAACAAAGTATGTCTGAAGAACTTTCCCTTCACCAAACAGTGAGGTAACTTCCCCTAATTGAATACCTAACCTATTTTATATATTTGGATATATATATATATATTTTATACATATACATTAAACTTAAACATTTGTTCCAATAAAAAATAAATATTCAATATGTTCGATGCATTGTGTCACGAGCTAATCAAAATCGTCCCTAATGTATACGTATAGGCCCAATGCACTAAATACCATCTAAAAAATTTCTTAAATTGAAAAATAAAATAGGTAACTCTAACACGCAGTTTGTTTGACACTTACTATATGAAGGAGATTATTTTGATCCGAATTGTAGATAATACCTTTTTCGTAAAAGTCCTATTTGAAAACAAAATAACAACCATAAGTAACTCAAATAAAAGATTAGAACATATTTATCTGAAAAGAAAAAAATAAGTTCATGTCTGGATGAGGACACGTCTCCGGTTTTGGTGATTATCTATCCCACGCGCTTTTGAAGAGATTGGAAGAAAATACATATATATATATATATATATATTCAGTTAAGAATGTGTCGCACAATGTATACAAAACACGTGACTAAAAACCATCTCAGGGTTATGTGGACAGTCACCATTTTAGATTGGCAAGTGATAGTAACATGACCAGTTTTGATTGGAGCACTGCGAATCATACATGGCTGAAGAGAATCCATGAGGAGCTCGAGGATGATGAATATAGGATTTTATGCTGTTCCAAAATCCTCTCCCATTACAACTTCTTGCTTTTCTTTTCTTTTCTTTTTTATTTTTATTTTTTAAGTTTGGTGAATTTCACCATTATAAATGGAATATTTCACTAGCATAATGGTGATTTTTCACTCATTTATATTTTCTTATAAGTGAGTCTTTTTATATTTGATTACTAATAAAATTTCACTATCATAGTAATAAAATTCAGCAATAATGGTTGAAAATTTCATCAACTGTAGAGAACTGTAGATAAGGCGAAGCCAGAAATCTAGATTTGAGGGTGTTGGTTGAGTATTAAGTAAAATTTTAAAAAAATTGTAAATAATTATAATATAATTTTTTATATAAATATTGAGCTTAGTAGATGTGTAAATATACATATATATTGAAAATATATAATCCAAAAAAAAAATTGCAACCTAAAAAAATATATATGGAAAATTAATATAAGAAAGAAAATCAAATTTTCTTTAAATATATATCATTATTAGCTTTACGAAAAATTTAAAAATTTTAATAAATAATTCTAACTAAACAAATCTCACAAGTTTTAATAAAACACAATTATTATGATTAAAATAGAGAAGTACTTTAATAATTTATATAATTAGTTATATAATTTATTTATTTATAACGAAAAATATTAAGATATATAATATCATTATTGTTGTTGGCATTCTTGCCATTGTGCTCTCACAATACCTTTAGTTTTTCTTTCTTCCCATACTCCCGAGACTTGTTGATAGAGATATTTATATATAATTCTAAATAAATTTCTTGTATACACCATCTTTAGGCTTCGTTTGGTTAGATGGAAATAGTAAGAAAATAAAGAAAATAGAAATTTTTTAAACATTTTAGTAGTTTGGTTAGCAGGAAAATGAAATTTTTTTTTTGAAGAAAATCACTTTCCATAACCATTTAATTTTTCCCATAAATTTTTTTTTTTTTTTTTTTCCAAAAACCACAAGAAAATTTTGATTTATTGAGAAAGTTCTGTGAACTTACAATATTAATGCCCTTTCTTTTATGAAAAATTACATGCTATTTAACCATAAAGTAATAATTTTACAAAATGAAAAGTACCACCAACAATGTTACTTTTAAAATAAGATTAGAATTGATAATGCAAATGAGTACTTAAACTTATAATTTTATAAAAGTGTTTGTTAGTTAGTTTTCTTTTCTTTTTCTTTTTTTTTCTTTAAACTTCATAAGTAACTTAGATGTTTGATTTTATCTATAATAAGACTTTAACTTCCAACCTTTCACTTACACTTCGAAAACTTTAACTCATTACTATCTTTTGTCACTGAGTCATTTAAAGTTATTTTTAGTCATATTCCTTTTATATACTTATATATCATCTATGTCCCATGTTAGATGCCCACTTTAAAAACTTTGATTCAAAATTTTGAGTCAAAATTTTCGAAGTGGTTATCTAATATGGGATGAAAGTAATATATTATTAAAAATAAAAGAGCACTAATTGGAAGTAATGCAGGGAAATGATATTTGTACTCTATTCTTGTACTATTGCACTTTATTTAAAGGCCTAAGAGAATATTATATTAATTATGGGTCAAGTGTAGAAAATATTCTTATAATATACTTACTTTGCATATCACACTTCTTGTGTGTTGAAAACACTCTTAAGTTTCAATTTGTGCAAATAGGTCCCTCCTGACACATTTAAACTATAAGTTGACTAAATTGCCCTTATACATTTTACATATTATTTAAAAATACATAATTTTTTGAAATGACCAAAATGATCATTTAGCATATGAAGGGTATAATACGCACTGTAAGCATACCATGTGAGTCTTTTCTGCACTTTTATAAACTATTATTATTTTGAATCTTTTGATCTTGTCAGTTAGGCTTAATTGAAATTGAAAATTGATCGGAACCTCTATTCTTAATAGGTTTAGCTGGGGGATTGCGATTTAAATAGTCTAATGATGGTAGGCGTGCAATTGAACACTCTCTTTTTTTCCAATAAAGATTAAAAACCTATTTGTTGCGATGTAAAGAATTATTATATATTTTTATGAAAATTTATTGCAAATTCTAAAGTTTAAAAAATTGAAAGTATTTTTTTTATATATATAATAAATAATGATAGCTATATTAAAATTTCATTGGGAATAATTTTTTTTTTTTCATAATTATAAAAATAACTGAGGCTTTCATTCGATATGATACATTAATTAATCTGACAACTGTGAGAAAATATATATTTTTGAGATATATATATTTTTTATCTCCATTTGACAAGGAAAAGAAATACATATATTAGAACTTCTGAACTTTTGAGTGGCATAATATCCTAGGAAATGTAAAACTCTCAACTCAGAGAGATAATACAAAAAGATAATACATGGTTAGGGGAAATATATAGAGAGATTTTTTTTTTTTTTGATTTGTGAGAGAAAATTCTTAAAAATGGGTTAAATATAGTTAATGTGCACATAACACCCTTCTACTATGAGAATATTAACATACACATCCCTTTGGATATTTTTGAAAGAGTAAAAGATATAACAAAACGGAATTTTCGCGTAATGTTTAAAGAATAATGGAGTTGGTAGCACATATTTTTAATTATGAAGTGAAAGTGGAATGCAAATTATGCTTTAGAATATTTTATGCACTTCCCCCCATTAATTATCTTAGTTCTCTTTTGCTTTTAAAAGGTAACTAGTCATTTTATTTTAAAAGAAAATCAAATAGAGTAAAAGAAAATGAAAAAAAATGTGAATATCACGTTTAACTAGGGGTGGAGTCAGCTTGTGCCCAAGGAAGGCACATGCCCCGCTTGACCCATCTTATGTATATATATGGTTTTTAATTATATATATATAAATTTGTATATTATGTCACTCTAAAATTATTAGTTTACAAATATTTTTTAAACTTTTTCTATTTTTTATTTTTTACTCTTTAAATTTCTTTAATTACCTTTTTAAAAAGGTTAAACTTTCCTTATTTAATCATGCTCTAATTTGTTTCTTTCAAAATTTACTTTTTTTTTCCCTTTTTCTTCTTCTTATTCTTATTTAAAAAAAAAAAAAAAATTCCCACTATGCCCCCTGAATTCAAATCGTGGCTCCGCCGTTATTTTTTATTTTTTTTTTAAATTTTTTTTAAAAAAAAATTAGGGTTCACGATTTCATTGGAATAAAGTATATGCATGAGTTATTGCCAATGTAAATAATAATAATAATAATAATAATACTTTATATATCAATGTAAGAAACATTTAGTGGGAGATTAAAATAAGTGAAAAAAGACCAAGGAACACAGTGGTGTTATATGCATTATGCATAAATCACTGAACTTATAAATTAAGAAAATATTTGATAATAGTAATAAAATTTACTTGGACCATTCAGATAGGTATGATAAATTTTTATTTATTTTTATAGTTTTGAGTAAACTGTGGTGTGTGTGTGTGTAAAATGAAGGTGCAACATACCTACCAAATTTTGATTCAGAACTTAAAAAGGTAAAATTGAGAAATAGAGAACAGCCACCAAGTCAATGAAACAGTTGAACTATGTACTTTCATTATTGTGATTGGAGTTGATATGTTCTCACTAGATTCTTCTACAGTAAACACGCGTTTCTTCTACGCGCCGTAGTGTATTCTGGTATTGCTTTACTCATTCGAACTTTTCAGACAAGTCTATGTGTAAAAAAGGAAATTATAGGGGTAAATTCGGAAAATGAAAAAACAGAAAGGTGTTTTTTTCTTTTTTTTTTTTACATTCCGGTAAAATTTAATTGCTTCTCTCTGTCATCTAGTTAGATCGGTCTGTTGTTTCTCTGTGGACTTAAAAAACTATTTTCTTTTCCTCCAAATGAACCAAAAGAAAGGAAAAGAAAATAGAAATAGAAATAGAAAGAAATAAAAAAACAGAAAATAAAAAAACGCGGCTGCTATACACCAAAACCAGAGTCTTTCTCTCTCTATGCTCGTCAATTTGAGCTTCAGAGATCGGATATTCGCATAAGACGATCCAAGCTCAGGGCTTTCCAATCAATAAATTACGATCGAAGATCGTGCACTGAGATTTTTTGAGATAATTGTTTGAGTTATTCGTGGGTAGATTATTGGGAGGCTGTTTGGTTGGTGAGAAAATTGACATTTCTTTTCGATCTCGGATCGATTCAGGTGAATTCCCAGATGGGTTTTGATGGGTTTTTAAATTTGTGAAATGGGTCGAAGAGATTTTTTGTTTCCGATGTAGGATTGTAGAGAAAGTTTTTTATTGGTAAGGGATGAATTTGAGAGTTTGAAAGTTTTTGGGGGGGTGATTTTTGGATGATTTCTGTGGGGAGTAGGGATGCAAGGAAGGGGTTAGGGTTAGGTTTTGTTTCTGCAAGAGAAATGGAAGAGACTGAGCTTGAAGAAGGCGAGGCTTATCAAAATGATGAAGATTCATCCATTGACCCCGATATTGCTCTCTCTTACATCGTAAGGATGTTTATCGAATTCTTCACTTAACACTAGTTTTGATCTTTCATAGTTTGCCTATAGCTCACGTGAAATTTATATTTGAGTTTATTATTTTGTGGAATTATGCGTTGACTTGTTTCGTATATCTCAGATCAAACCCGAAAATCTTAGGTATATAGTGATTTTGCATTGTGTAAGAGCACTAACTATTTGTTTGATCACACACCCCCCAAAAACAAGAGAGAGAGAAAGAGAGAGAAACTTTATTTAAGGCATTGTCTTCAGCACTTGGGTGCTATTGGATACCAAACATAGTTTTTGTAGTTAGTATTTGAATTTGATCCAATATGAATGATAAATATACATATTTGTTGAGGCAGGAAATTTTGTGGAAATTATTCAACAAAATAACCAATGTAGTAATTTGTGAATTACCTTGACCGGGTATGTACAATGTCTAGTTTTTAACACTTTGAAGTCTTACCGGAAGCTTTATGAAAGCCAAGAAGTAAAATTGAAGAGAATTAGGTCACAAGTAGTATGAGCATAAGGCTTATCTAACATCTCTACATCTCTTCTGATACATTACTCCTAGATTTTTGACGTCTTAATAATAATTTCTACCATTTTTTTAGTAGTCTGTATTTCTAATTATGTGATTATTGTACTCCTTTGAAGGATGTCAAACTTCAAGATGTTTTGGGACATTTTCAAAAAGATTTTGAAGGTGGAGTTTCAGCTGAAAATTTGGGTAAGTCAAGGAAAAAAAAAAGAAAGAAATGAAAACGATCATGGAGAACTGGAATGTGGTATTATAGTGTGAGGTGAAATATTGAAGATTTATACATTTTGGCAGGAGCTAAATTTGGTGGATACGGTTCATTTTTACCTTCCTATCAGCGTTCTCCTGTTTGGTCTCATACAAAGACACCACCGAAAGTTCATAACTACAACACACCCAGATCCCCCAAGAATTTGCATCTGGAGGTAGATATCTTTTATATATGTGACCTTTTTTTATTACAATAACTATTGTCATTATGATGGAGAAAATAGGATTGTCTTGGTTGACATGTGAATTTTAGTTGAAATAAGCACTTTTGAGTTGCTTTATTATACAGGGTGGCCGTCACAACTCTGTAGCATTGCCAAGTGCATCTCTACCAGTGAGACTTGGACAGGCCTCTACAAGTGACTCATCTTTGCCTTTACTGAGGCCTTCAACTGTAAACGATTCAGTGAGACGAGATGTATGCATGTCATCTACTCATGCTGAGGAATCTACTTCACAATGTGAACTTATGAATAATTCTACTAACACTTGTGACCAGAAAACACTGAAGGTTCGTATCAAAGTGGGTTCTGATAATTTGCCGACTCGAAAAAATGCTGAAATCTACAGTGGTCTCGGCCTTGATGTTTCTCCATCATCATCATTGGATGACAGTCCGTCTTATAGTGAAGGGTTGTCTCATGAGGCTCAGTTTGCTCCAGATGAATCTCCTACTAGTATTCTTCAGGTTAGTCATGTCCTGCATTATTCTCATTTTCCCTTTTATCCTAAATTAACCTACGGTGATCAGACTCTCTTACTTTGTTCTTAAAATCACTTTGTTTGTTGGAGCAGAGTATGACATCATTTCCAGTACCTGGGGGCATACTTTTATCACCTCTTCCTGCTGATCTGATTTGCTTCACTGCAAAAGAAAAGCTTCGGGGGGAGAGCAGATCCGGATTCGTCCACAAGGGTAGCCAAGAAGGTTCTGCGATGTTAGTGAATGGGTCTGATTCTGCAAGGGCTGATGGCAAAGTTTTAGGAGACAAGAAACCAAAGTCATCTGAGAAGAATGCCTCTTCAGTGGAATTGAAGAATCTTTGTGGTAGGAATGCACAGAATGGCATTGGTGTTCTACTAAAGAAGGAAACGGGCATTGATGCTTATGATTGTGAACAACTTGTTTCTAATGCTTTGAAGCTCCCTCTTCTATCTATTTCCGATTGTAATGTTGTAGATTCTGCAAAAGGTACTACTAGGGAATTCGATATCTCCAAGGTAGTCAATAAAAGTGTGGTGAAGGACGAATCCATCGCTGTTCTAGAAAAAGAGGAACCCGTGAAGGTAGTATCAACCCAAGATATTGGCTGGGCTGAGAAGCCTAATGGAAATGTTGGTACTGCTGGAAAGGTTTGGGAAGAGAAGAAAGGAAGCCCTCATGATAATGTTTCAGTTTGTTTGAGGAAAGATAGCAATTTCAAAGGGGAGAAAAATGATTCTTTTGCCAAAGCTGACTCAAATGTCTTCAATGGAAGGAAAACTCTAAATGCTGAACATATGGATCATTCAAAGCACAAGACTGATCTGAAAGCTACATCTCATGAAGAAGATGGTAAGAAACTGGCAACTGGGAAGGAGTATTTATCTTCTGGGGGCAAAAAGAAATCTAAAGGAAGCGAGAGTCAAAGGCGTAGTGCCAAAAGTACAGAGGTGCCGAAAGATAGCTTAAATGTTGATTCCTCATTGGTACCCAAAAATAGGAAGGGCAATAATTATTTACCTAAAAGTGAAGTGGAAGATGTCAAATTACAGAAGGATTATGGAAAGTCCAGAGACACATATAGAGATTTCTTTGGTGAGTTAGAGCTAGACCAGGGAGATAAGGACGTGGATTCAGTAGAAATGCCTTCTGCTGATGGGCTGAAGGATGCTGAGGTGGTTGAAAAGAGCACATTTGCCTTGAACAGCACATCGAAGGAGAGATTGAATGGAAGGAAAATCGATAAGCTGTCTACGTCTGATGTATATCCCAAAGTGGCTTCAAATGTGGCTTCTCTCACAGGAAACGGGGCAGGTCCTGGAACGGTGGCTCCAGTTGTCAAAGAAGATTGGGTATGCTGTGACAAGTGTCAGACATGGCGCCTTCTTCCACATGGAACAAATCCTGACAGCCTTCCTGAGAAGTGGCTGTGTAGCATGCTTGATTGGCTGTAAGTTCTGTTATGTTAGCAGTTTGACTATTTATACTTGTGAAAGCTGACAGCATGGTGGATCATTATTCAATCAATAAACATTGTAGTTACAAATTTAGTATACCCAAGAGAATAATTGTCTGATTATTATACCTGTGAACTTGTATAAGAGCTTTTAATTAGTATTTGTCCTGGATAGTAAAAAAGTAATACATTGACTCTGTGTGTTTGTGTGTGTGAGATAAAGATTGATCTCTTCATTGTTTTATCATGCGACTAGGCCTGGAATGAACCGCTGTAGTTTTAGCGAGGAGGAGACAACGAAAGCTCTAATTGCCCTTTACCATGTTCCTGCTCCTGAGAGTCAAAATAATCGACATGATCATCTTGGTGGAGTTGTTTCAGGTGTAACCTCATTTGATGCTCGTCATTTTGGCCAACACTTGCAGAATTTTGATTCCCATATTGTACCTAGTGGTGGAAAGAAGAAACATGGATTAAAAGAAGTATCAAATGCAACCAACCAAGATGGTATCGCCCAATTTCCAAATTCCAGGAAGAATCTTCAGGCATCAGTGAAAAGCAGAAGCTTAAATGGTGGGAATCAGTCCCCTACGGTCAGTGAACGTGAGTTCCAACAGGTTAGCAAGTCTGGTAGCATTGTTGTAGAGAAACAGGGACATAAGCAGAAAGAGAAGAACAAACTACACGAACACTATTCTAATGGAGGTATTGTATTTGAAGCAGATCTTTCTTGTGTTAGTCAAACCCATTTTCTGGAAATTTATATTTTCTTTCCTTCATATAACATGTCCACAGGTGATACCAAGAGCTCCAAGATGAAAAGCAAAAGGGAGGAGGCTGATCAGGATTATTCTAGAGCTTATTCTAAGAAAATCAAGATAGATGGTATGCGTCGTACTGATGAAGATTGGATGTCTGACCATGGGGAGGCTGTTGGGAAGGTGGGTCCTAGCTCAAGTAGTGGTTTGTCAATAAATGAGTCCGGGAAGGATCGGCGAAAATACAATGATCATTCTTCATCTAAGGACTCAAAGTGTGATGCAAAAAACAGCATACAAGTACCTACTAGAAATCCACCAGACCAAGTTCAGTTTATCCCAGATGACGGGTCCCTGCATAAAGGAAATTGTGATGATAGTGACATTGTTCCGAGGAAGAGGAAAATGAATGAATGTCAGGATACTCAGATTTATGCTGCATCTCTCCCTGGCACTGGACATCATCTCCGGGACAGCAGGGATTTTGTGGAAGAGACTAGTGAAAATGATCACAAGAAGGACAAGAAGGCAAGGGTATCCAAGTCAGAGGGAAAAGAAACCAGTAAAAGCAAAGTCTCCGGTGGAACATCCAGAAAAAGTAAAAGTGTGAAGAACCAGCATCTGGGGCCAGATCTTGGTTCAACTCTGTCTCAGCGAGATTTGGGATCTGTGCAACCTTCTGTGGCAGCCACTTCAAGCTCTTCCAAAGTTTCTGGCTCCCATAAAAACAAAGCAAGTCTCCAAGAAGTGAAAGGCTCACCAGTAGAATCAGTGTCTTCCTCCCCTTTAAGGATTTTGAATCCAGATAAGTCTACATTGATGAGAAAGAACCTTGCACTGAAAGATGATTTTCAGGATGCTGGGTTTTTTGCCACAGGTAGTCCAAGAAGATGCTCAGATGGCGAAGATGACAGGGGGAGCGATAGGTCTGGGACAATCAATAAGGATAAGACTTTCACTGTCACCCATCATAGGTCTGCAGAGCCCTCTGTGCTTGAAATGCGAGACGGTGATATGGGTCATGCTAAAGCTAAAGCACAAATCACACGTTCTCCTGAATTCACAAATTTCCATTTTACTAATGGCGATACCAGTATCTTGGGCCAAGGTACTCAATATCCTTGCAAACCAGAGTCATTAGATCAATGCCACAATGAAGAAAGGGGGAGTGGTAACCATTATATTGCCAATGCTTCTCGCCCAAGGAAGTCTGGGAAGGGGTCTTCTTCAAGGTCTAAAGAGAAGAAGGGGAATGTCAAATCTGAATTTGACAAGGGTAAGATCAAGATTTCTGATTCTTACAATGAATCTACAGGGCATAAACCTCGTGAAGAAAAATCGAGGGCTGGAAAAAACAGGTTTGAGGAGAAATTTGGGTTTAATTCTGAAAAGTTTGAGAAGAATTCTGCTGATAAGAAAGATTCTGCTGGAAAACTAATTGAGAGCAGTAAAAAAGAGAGTCAACCAAAACTTGGAGGGCATGATGGGCTGGATGGTAAAGTAGATGCTATTTCCAGCCAGGAACAGAAGCAGAACCTTCTACTGGATCGTCATGGCGAAAGATCTTCGAAGAGGTTTCTTTCCGAGAAAGTAGATAGGGAAGTTTCTGGGAGAGGGAAGTCTCACCCCTTACCACCCACTGGAAGAGGTCAAAATGAGACAGGATTGAATTCCTCTCAACTAATATCCGGATCACAGAAAGAAAATGGAGCAAATATATTGTCAGTTGATGTTTTGGAAGGTGATGATGCACTGAAGGTTCCAAAGCATATTAAGAAGTCTGAGAGCCAGAATGGAAATCAGTCCACTAATTCAAGGCATCCGACACCAAACGGGCACAAGGTCAGAGATGTGGATGCCCCAAGTCCTGTTAGAAGGGATTCCTCCAGCCAAGCTGCCACCAATGCTTTGAAAGAGGCGAAGGATCTTAAACACCTGGCTGACCGTCTTAAGGTTTTTACATATTTATTTTTCTTTCGTTATGGAGTTGTTTCTGTTTCTTGTCCTAAGTCCTCACTCTTGATACAACTTGACTCTTTTCAGCAGGCTTCTGGGTCGAATCTTGAAAGTACAGTTCTGTACTTCCAGGCAGCCCTTAAATTTCTTCATGGAGCCTCTTTACTAGAATCTTGTAACAGTGAGAGTGCCAAGCATGGCGAGATGATTCAATCAATGCACATGTATAGTAGTACTGCAAAACTCTGCGAGTAAGTAATGCTCAAGCTCTGCAAGAGACCTTTTCCTTTGCATATGATCTATCTTGTGTGCAATCTGGCTAAGATTTTTTAAAAAAAAAAATTTTCCCTCCCAGAAAGTAAAACAAAATCTGGAGAAGATGTGTTGTGTGTACGCTTAAACCCAATAATACAACACCAACATTGTTTGATCCAAATTCAAAGCAATGATCTAGATATTTGCTTTTCATTTTCTCCCTTTAGAAAGTGTCAACTGGGATTTTACATATCCCAGCTAGGGTCAAAAAGCTTAGATTACCTCTCCACCTTGGACATGCTTCCCAGACCTATCCTGGTACAACAGCTTTCTTCTATGTGCTTTTCTCTCCTTTCATTCCTAAACCGTTGTGGTGCAATAAAAACCCACTTCATACCAGTGATATGATATGAGTACGTTGCTCAACAAAGCTTGGGCAATGGTTTCTCTCTTTTATGGTGAGGATGGATTAGTTCTCATCAACTAAAATGTATTGTTTTTTTCTAGAAACCTTATAAACAACACTACATAATTTGATATTCCAAGATTAAAAGTAACTTTGACTTGCTATTTTCATTAATGGCACTTATAGTTTCAAGTTTGGCTCATTTTTTCTGAGCCACTATCAAGTGGTCAATAAGACTTTCACCATGTTGGCATTTCAGTTTTGGGTTCCATTTAAATTATTTAGTTGGTAGGAAGATTTGAGGTTGTTAGTTTATGTAAATCAGTTGACAAACCTCATCTTTTGATGCTAATTTTGTTGCCATAAATTTTATAAATAGTTAGTTTATGTATATCAGTTGACAAATCTCATCCTTCACTGCGGATTTTGTTGCCAAAAATTTGGTAAATAGTTCCGCTTCATATATAGCTGGTAGTCGTCATATTTAGATAGAGTTTGACTGGAATACTTTACAACTCTATATAAATCATGTCCATCAGAAGGAAGCCATATGGCTATGAAGAAGAAATTCTTGGCGGTCTCATTGTTGGACCAATTGTACTCTATGTGTCAGCTTGATTTGTCAATTTATCCAAATTGAAAATTCATTTAAGATAAATAAATAAGCTAAGTAGTGTCAACCTTATGCTTTGAACACTTCATCGCTTTTTTATTTGAAGTAAATAATGATTTAATATATCGCGCACTAAATAAGTAATAGGCACCTTCTATGTGGTGAATCGAGTTCCTCTCTCATTATATAGTTACAAGGCTCTAATTTTTGGGAGCTCTATAGCCCAATTAGTTTCTGCTAAAATGATAAAGTTACAGTTCAAAAACAGATCTTTGTTTATTATTTGTTGTTGTTTCTGAAAGTTGTCATAGGTGCAAATTATCCCTTAGTAGCTATGTCTTTTGGTAGTTTCTTAATTTTAATTTTATCCCGAATTAAGCACCTGGATTTTACAGATGACTTGCTGCTGCACATTTTTGTGGTTATTTTACTATACATGAAATTTAATATTTCATAGATGATTTCTTATATTTGAAAAGTGAAAGGTCTTATGCAGCTTTTCTTTCCCTTTCTTCTTGCTATTCCATCTTAAATATATAGGTTTTGTGCCCATGAATTTGAGAAATTCAAGGACGCGGCTGCTGCTGCTCTGGCCTACAAATGCATGGAGGTGGCTTACATGAGAGTAATTTATTCCTCCCATACCGGTGCAAGCAGAGATCGGCATGAGTTGCAAATGGCCCTGCAAGTAGTTCCTCCTGGTAATTAGAGTAGACCATGATATAGAGAATATGTTAAATGTGTCAGCATGTAGGAGTAAAGAGATCTGGCCTGAAAAAACTTGTTCCAATTTTTTTCTTCGATTTTATGTCTTATAAGTTTATGTTTTTTCTGGAACTCATGCCCTGTGCTTTAACTAAATCCCTGCTTTTTACTTGGAATGGGTCCTAAAAACTGTTATTTAAACAAAGACCAACTCTAAGATGTATCATTAGTGCGTGTGAAGAAACCCATCACACTACGACATGTTATATTGTTCTGAATCTGGTCTGTGTTCATGAAATCCTGAATTTTAAAGGCTTGCAATAGAGTGATGGTTCTAATTGTGTTGATACGCGACTAATCTTATCTTGCCCTGTTATGCCCTGTAGGGAAATGGTGGAAAACAGTTATGGCTAGTTTCACTTGGTTTTCTTTCATCTTCATTTTAAATATTGAAGTTCAGAAATGGAATGACTCATCAATGTACCACATGCATGAATAGAACAATGAAAATCATAACAAGACGAGAGTTCCTGACTTCTTGTAGTTATTGTGGCCTACATCTAAGTGATACTGAACCCATATTAGGGAGGTGGTCACTCACTGTCTTTCTTCATATGTGTTATATTAAAATATGACGTCCTTGTTTACAGCCATCTTCATAAGATAAAGCTGCATCTGTTTTCTGCTCAGAATGTTATGGTAAACATGAATATGATGTAGGATAGGACTCGGAAATTTCTAATAATGCAGTATCCAATTGATTTTATGGATGATTAATTTTATAAAGCTTTTAAGTGTGTGGTTTAAAAGGATGGAAGAAAGATTACAGGGAATGTAGATGGAAAAACTGGGAATTGGCTTAATTTGAGAGGTGGCTAGATGCTAAAATTGCTGAGAATTGGTTATGAGTTCTAGAGTATTAAGTTAAACGGCAATGGATGGGGAAAGGTTTAGGTAGAAACCAGGGTTATGGAATGGGAAATTACAGGAACAGGAGCTGATTGTGATGAAAATGATTGAATCTGATCAAGAAATAAAGAAAGATGATGAAGGAGAATCTTCTAAAAATCTCACTTTTTGAATTTGTTAGGCTTCACCCTCTTAGGTTGCATGACTGACCAACAACATCTTCAATTCTCTAAAACTCAACTTTATTGAAAGAAAATATAGAAATTTATAGTCCAGTGGACAACTTCTGCCATTATGAAGGATTACATAATAGGAAATTTTGAAAATTTGACTATTTTATATCATTCTAGACCTACGAAAGGATGCATTTGTTGATTATGACCACCAAATAAAGCCCATTGCGAGTGTTTCAGTCCTGACTCAAGCAACTTATGAAATTATTTTAAATACCCTTGACTTCTAAAACATAAAAAGAAAAAATAAATAAATTAAACTGTCTAGCAGCTTACTAATTAAAATAAATATGCATAAAAACCCGAATTCAACCCAAAACTTAATTATTTCGAAGTGTTCTCTATCTGAAAATCTGGATTTGCCCCTTTCTTGTTATCATGCTATGCATCAGAATATGATATTGAAGGTCACATTCTTCTTTTTCAATTTGAGAGTTTTACATTCTGATTATTTTGTTTTATTATTTTTTTTTTTCCGGGCATACAATTTGCTTCTTTTTTAGAATAAAAATAAAAAATAAAAATTGGCTTAAGATTCTGAGTCACTAGTAATAGCCTTTTACTGTTACTAAATGATATGACTTCTTGTAAATTTCCTTTTGTCAATCTGACATGCTTCCCGTGTTTAACATTTGTTAGGCGAGTCTCCTTCTTCCTCCGCCTCTGATGTTGATAACTTAAACAACCCTGCAATGGTAGACAAGGGTGCCTTAGCCAAGGGTGTTTGCTCTCCTCAAGTTGCTGGAAACCATGTTATTGCGGCACGAAACCGTTCCAGTTTTGTGCGGCTGCTCAACTTTGTGAGTATATATTGAAAAATCAGATTCATCTTTAAATAATTATGTTCTGCATAATTTATATGAAAGGAAGAATATGGCTTTGGGCTTGAATATAAAGGGCTAGCCCAGTACATGAGGCTCCCACCATTGCGGGGCCTGAGGAGGGCCAGAGGTATGCAGCCTTACGTCAAGATGCTATGGGCTTGCATATGTCTCCAAACAAATGAGATTGTACAGTTTGGAACATCACACAGACTGGAAAAAAAAAAAAGAAAAAAAAAAGGGGTAGTGGATATGTGAACACAGAAGCTAAATTCAACATTCGAGGACACACTGATATGGGAAATGGCTATTCCCCGTACGTGTAGCTGATTGTCCTGTTCAAATTAAAAGAAAGGGAAACAAGAAGGCATTTTAGAAGCTTCTCATTTTCATCTTTCGCATATCCCTGGGGAAAAAGAATCCTTTTAGGGTCTTTCATGTTCTATATCAGAAAATGGTGTGACATATTGGTAAAAACTGATGTGTCAAGTTTATGGAGTTTATATTGTCATTTACTTATGGAACCGAGGTGTTTTAAGTCTTAAGAATATGGAACAACACATCATCATTATTTTTTATTATATTTATGCATTGGGTTATATAGTTTGTTAGCATCTTAAAATGTTACAATCTGCAGACACAGGATGTACACTTTGCAATGGAAGCCTCTAGGAAATCTCAACTTGCTTTTGCAGCCGCAAGCCCAAGACTCGAGCAGGTCCAATACAGGGATGGTATAAGATCCGTCAAAAGGGCTCTTGATTTTAACTTCCAAGATGTAGAGGGATTGCTACGTTTGGTACGGCTTGCGATGGAAGCCATTAGCGAGCCGTTAAAATCCTAGTTGTAATTGAGATTATGTCAATCCTGGGAGGAGATTTTGTTTGGTTCTTTTTTTCCCCCTCCAGTTTTCAATCCTTTATGGAGGAAGAGCAAAGAAGATGACACGGTTGTCTCTGCTGCATCACGCATTCCATCTATTAGAAGACACGTTTCACCAGCTCAGTGCCCCTGTGAACATCTGTACAAATTGAATTTACAATTTCTAATATATTTTTTCAGTGAGGCTTCAGCTGCTTTCTAACTCGAATAAGGGCCAATAAATTTGGCGGGAAGTGATGTTGGTGTTGGCTTCGCGAAAAGATTCATAAATATATAAAGAAATACAGATTCAGGGTTGAGCAGAACTATAGCTGGAGACAAAATTGAAAGTCCAGTCTTAGATCTTTTGGGAAGCTTAAGTCCTGAGACCTTGGATTGCTGTTTTTCTGGCCTTCTTTCACAAGGGAGTTTCAGTTGTTCTGTTCTATTTGTTTAATTTTTCAATCGGGCAAAACTTAAGTATAGGAAGCTGCCAAGATGATTTGCCAAGCTCATCTTTACAAAATTGACTCCACTGTTGGTTCAAGCACATTTTAAGGAGGGTAATAGGACTAGAAGAGATGGGAGTATCAGGTAATTTATTTATCTAACTTCTTGTCTGTCAATTAGATTGCCTCTCTTAATTCCTTTGTCTCTTTTTCAGTTTTTAACTTTATGGTATTTTTATTTGCTTGCAGGTTACCATATACCATACATAGTTTTCTGCATTTGCAGTTGGAAAAGTTTGCTCTGATATTGAGAAATAGGAAGAAGTTAGGAAAGAATATGTAAAGTGCAAAATGGAAATAAATAATGTACATATAGTTCCCAATGATGGGTTGCCAAAATAATCTTCTTAGAAGGTTTGTGCAATTTAGATGTTATGTTGGACTTTGGCATATTATACTTAATTAATAATCATTTCTAATTATTTCTTTCTTATTTTCGTGGCAGTGACTATCTATGTAAATATACAAATCATTGAGTTAAATCATCCAACAGTGGCACCAGTTTTCTTCTTTAGGAGGGTTCCCTACTTCATACCACACGGTCTACAGCTTTGGCATTTAGCAGGTTAAATTGCTATTTAATTGGTTCTTTGTTGAATGCACTGCAAGTATGAAGCTTCTATATATTTGTTTAGTGATTTTTTCCCCCATTTTGTTAATTAAGTTTCGTATCTTATTGAAAGAAAAATAATAATAAATAAATAAAATTTAAAGTAAAAATTTATATCTAATCAAATTGAACTTAAAATGTTCCACTTGATTTGTTTGTCTGTTAGACGTTGAGAATGGAACCTAAAAAACCCTCCTCGCATTTGTAAAGAATTTTTTTGGCAGCTATTGATGTCAAGTAAATATGTATTCATGAAACTTTAAATTATCTTTCTTTTTTGTTTTTTACACATAAAGAGACTTTTTTTCTTTTGAAATTTTTTTCATTTTCATGTGTTTTATCACTCCTTGCTGTTGCATTTGGTAGAGTAACTAGTGTGCTTGCTTGCAAAAGTGGCTACTCTGTACCTCTATGTGATGTTGTGGCCTGAATTTGGTTTAGGGTTGTGTTGCGACCCGTTTTCGACTGCCGGTTAATTGGAAATTTTTTGACCCATTTTTTGCTTATGGGTCGTGGACCCTGTTTAATACTCTCTTGTAGCTCGATATATAAGGGCATTTAGAGTTTGGAGTGGGATATTGAGGGACACTGAAAATTGTAGAAGAGAGAGAGAGAGAGAGAGAGAGAGAGAGAGAGTGAGAGCTTTGGTTTGAGGGCTGAAACATGTAATATTCAAATTTTCGAATAGTGTATTCTTTTGCTAGATTTTCACAGTGGACGTAGGCTTTGCCGAACCACGTAAATTTTTGTGTTCTTTGTGTGTGGCGTGTTTATTTTCTATCGTGTTTCGTAATTGTTTCTTCCGTTGGTTACATTTGTCGCAACACAGTATCCTTGTTTGGCTGCTTAGTGCTGACTGAAGAGGATCTTGGTTACAGGTACTGACAAATGAGTGGGGCAACTGCAGTGGCAGCAGGCATCAGCTTATAATAAGTAGCCCTGATGAACTGTTTGCTTCATTTGTCTTCTCTCTTAACAACTTTGTACATCGGGGAAATGCAAAATTTGATCCCTGTAGTCTCATTCTTGCTTGCCTACTCAGTTGTGTATACCATAACAACATTGTTTTATTCTTCTTAATAAAATTTTAGATCTATTTTTATCCACTGGACTTTTTTTTTTTTATATAAAAATTATGGATAAACTTTATTGAAATTTAGTTGAACTATGTATAATAGTTAATTCAGTGGGAGGACCAAGAACCATAACATAAACCTTATGTTGCTATCCACTGATCACATCCCAAGTTTGTGATGTTGAAACTCTGATTCAAGTTCTTTAGGGTTTCTTTTATTCCCAGCATGTTAACAACAGCAATTTAATTCACTATGTTAACAACTGGCGGGGCGGGTTGGGTCAGGTAAAAAATGGGCAGATCAGAAATAAATTACTGACTCATATCCGATCCGTTTGTGATGGGTCAAGAATGGGACGGGTCAACATGGTTTCCAATATAAATGAGTAAATCTCAAAAATATTTCACAATGGTTTTTACCATATAATGGGGCGAATTGATCAAACTTCATTGGAACTCGAAGTAATAAACAACTTTGAATAGTTTACTTGTGTGTAATTTATTCAAATTTAATGAAAGGTCAGTGCAATTTATATAAATTTTTATAGGTGAAGCAAATTAAACCTAATTTTCGAACAAGGAAGGCTAAAAAGCAGCACTGTGTCCCCTTTTACTTGAACCCATATTGAATTATTAGTACATTATTTATTCAACAATTGGTACTTTTGTAAATAATAATAATAATAAAAAAACCTATTGCATTATAATAATAATAATAATTATAATTATTATTGTTATTGCTATTATTATTATTATATATATATAGAATATATACACAAACATCATGAACATGGAAGAAATGTTATGTATTGTTATATATCTCATCTAACAATTTAACTCAATAATTCAATTAAAAAGACATCCAAAGTTTTTTCCTTTTATCTTAGAATAAAAATATGTGCATAATGGTGAATTATTCATGAAAAATAAGTTTTTTTGCTTTAAAATTTAACACTTTAGAAATTCTATTAATTAATGAATATGCTTCTTACCATTACTAAGATGTTTTAACCTTTTATCTTAGAATAAAGTTACTATGCATATAATATAATTGCCATAAAAAAAATAACAAAAATAATAATTAATTTGTTATTTATAAAAGCAACCACTTAATAATTCTATAAAATTCAACTAGCTTCAACTTCAAGTCTCACACCCCACCCAAAAACTTCAATGTCCCTTACTTTGTTTGGATTGAGGGATTTAGAGGGATTTGGAGAGAAATTAAAGAAACGGAAAGATAGTGATTAGGGAGTTTGGATGGGAAGAAAAAGAAAGAAAATAAAGGATTGGGAGGGATTATATAGTTTACAGTTGCAGAGAGAGAGAGAGAGAGAGTGGGAGACTGAGAACGAGATGGAGGCTACTGGGGAGGCTGAAATATATATATATATATATATGTAGTTTGCAGTTGCAGATAGAGAGAGAAAGAGAGAGTTGCAAAACAATAATTACAGACCTTGATTAGTTGATTTTAGAAAAAAAATTTAAAACAAAGTATAATCTGAAATGATATGCCAATATGGGTTTTGAGCTTAAATAAGAGAAGCTGTCACAGAGGCTTTTAAAGCAAACCTCGCTAAGCAAATCAGACCCCTCTCGCATATCTGCTTTCCAGAGCCAAAGATGCAAGAAAGAAGTTTGAGCTTGATAGTCTCCTTGGTCCTTCGCAGTACTGATTGACGAACGAACTAAGGAATTGAAAGGGAAGGGAGCAAGCTATTTTGTAGTTTGTAGTTGGAGAGAGAGAGAGAGAATGAGAGAACGAGAATAGAGAGATGGAGGTGATTAGGGAGACTGAAATGATTTTGCCCTACTAACCCTACCAAAAAGGGTAAAATGGTAATTTCATTATTATCCTTTCCTTTATTTTCTTTCCTTTGTGTTATCCAAACAACAATATTACCAATTCCTTTCTTTTCTCTCATATTTATCCAAACATGAATATAAATTATAGTTATCATTTTCTTTTTTTCTTTTTTATTTTATTTTCTTTTCTCTTATAATCATTTCCTTTCTTTTCTCTCATGTGTTTCCAAACGAAGCCTCTGGACAAATTATAGACAGCTGTTGAATGTTTATCACCTTAATGTCCCCTAAACCCATTTTTCGGCTAATGAGAGGTGACTTTGAATGTAAAAAGTCAGTGTTCCCTTTATATCATAATAATATATTATATTGAATTTTATACAAAGGAATGTCAAATTTGTTATTTTATAAATTTTGGTCAACAAGTCTACCTGAAAGAGAACGCTAGGAGTGTCAGAGGTCAAAGTGATAGATGCTCAAAGATTTACTACACTGTGTATAATTCGCAAGAAATCAAATAAGAAGAAACGTTTTTCAAGATAGGAATGGGTATCTCAATGTTTTCAATATAGATGAAAGAAAATGGGTAACGACATTCCAATGTGGTCGTAATCTAAAAACAAAAGAAGATATGATGAAATTGGTAGACCGCTACGGACTTAGTTGGATTGAGCCTTGGTATGGAACCTAAGTGATTAGTTTCAAATTCAGATAAGCCTTGTAATTAATAAAATTTGGCAATCTTAAGCCGAATCATGTTTTTCGAAAACAAACAAAGGTTCAGAAAAGCGAAAAAAAAAAGGATAGATGCAGAGACTCAATGGAAGCTTGTAATACCCCTAATTTTAAAAGGATAGTCTCGGTATTTTAATTATTGTTTTATTCAATTTTTATTTGATAGTCTCGGCATTTTAATTATTGTTTTATTGCATTTTTATTTGTTTTTTTGCCTAAATGTTTAATTGTTGTTTTTATCTAATTAAGTTATTGGTTTAATTATTTTTATTTAATTGAATTATTTGTTTAATTGATGTTATATGCTTATGTGGAAAAATGAATTAATTGGTTTATTTGGTTAAATTAGTTTTATTAATTATTAATATATTATTATGGTTTTATGTTTTTATGGACTTGCAGGTTAGCCGACTTAGGGATACGTTTATTTTGTTTTGTTTATTTTTCCTTCTTTAAGTATAATTAGACTTAGGGTTTAGATGCCTATATATATATACTTGTATACGTCTGCCAAGGGTGAAACAAAAACCCTATACACGTACTGAGAGGCAGAGAGAAACAGAGAGAGATTTAAGAGGAAAATAGAGAGAACCAGTAAGGGTTTCGGCCGTAGATTAAAGGTCGGACCAAGAAGGAAGGAAGAGGTTGATTGTGGGTTAGAACCGGAGCAGTAGGAGGCTTGACGGTAATCGGAACTCGCCGGGAAAATCTAGGAAGACGGCGTTGAGATTTTAATTGAAAATCTCACAGGCAAGTTTTATATCTAACTCTCTCCCTTGACTCATGTTCTTTACATACCTAGTTCAATTCCAGGAGTAAATAACTTTAAGTTAATCTGGGTTGCATGTTGAATTCGATTAAAACCGTTTATGTAGTAACAAATTGTTAATTGCTTGAGTTTAAGTTTTCATGCGTGAACAATGATTTTAATTCATTTAATTAATGCATAATGGATCTAAATAACTTCTGAAAAACTTTGGGACCTAGTTCAAACATCTAGGAACTTTAGTAATGGAGGACTGGTGAATTGGAAGTCGCCGGAGAAGACGGAATTGACGAAAACAGGAGGAGAGCCGGCTTCCTTTTGAAGGGAGGTGGCTCCCCAATCAAAGAGGTGGCTCCCCACAAGGGGGAGCTGGCTCTACACACTCTAGAGGTGGCTCCCCTTGTGGGGGAGCCGGCTCCACTCAAGGGGGAGGCGGCTCTTCCCCCTTTTAATGTATTTTTGAGGTATTTTTTATTCTGGGCTGGGTTTTTGACATTCTAGATGTAATTAGGGGCTGTAAATGGGCAGTTTAATGATGTTTAAAGTCATATTAAAGCTCTAAGAGGCATGATAATAAACCACTTAGGGTTTATAGCTACAACAGTATAAAATTCTTAATTAAATTGACATACTGTTATTGGATGTGGAGGATTTACAATTGCTTAACTTTATATTAGTAATTTTTGTGTGAATAGTTATACAACTTAAATCATGTTTCAGTGGCATAAAATAAGCATGTAAATTTATACGTTTTTCAGTTATGCTTATTAAGAAATAATTGATGTTTACATATTCTATCTGTATTGTCAATTGTTGGATTTTGCGGAGTAGGATTAAATAAGCATGTTAGTTCATATATTTCTATTATGCTTATCATGGATTAGTTGATGTTTACAATTATTACCTGTATTATCAATTGTTGGATGTTTGGATTATATGCACAGGTATGGGACGGTGGCATAATAGGGATGGATTAGCTCAAAAAGCTAAGTCCTACCTATTCTAGAATAAAACGAATTGATTATAAAATAAAATTCTACTTATATTTAAGTTAGATCAGCTGAATAAGTTGAATGACTAACTAGATTTCTTATGGATGGATATGATAGGATTTATATATATATGACTATGGTACCACGATATGAGCTTGAGTCTCAAGATCGATGGTTAGAGAGCGTGTATGCATTGGGATGCATAACTGGCTATGATAGGTAGCGGTGTACCCTAGTAGGCTTAGGTACACATGCCTACTTCGGGTACGTTTTGCATGTTGCCTCTATTCAGGTTAAGACCCCCTTTGTAGTCTAGTGAGAGTCCCTTATTGTGGATATATATATGTACGGACTATATAGCTATTGTTGAGTTATTTAGGATGTACATGCGTATCGGGTCTCTGTTTGGATTGTAGTTGTATAGAACTTACTCGTGGGCCTGACCCACTATCATTTTTCAATTGTTCGTCAGTTCCAGGCTTAGAGCTTGTTCGTGCTAAGCAGAGACAGTCACTCACTCTTCCGACGATGTAGGATTTCTCTTCATGGTTTAGCTTTAAAGTTTATTTTAGTTGTTTACCTTTCTGTTTGGGATTTTAATAGGGGTCCACTAGATAGATTCCTGAGTTGTTTAATTAATGGAGGTTTTGGATTATTGGTTTTTAATCATTTAATTTTAAGGATTATATTTTAGAATTCTTTCAGCCTTTATTATTTTTTTATTAATTC